CTCTAGTGTAGCAAACGAGGAACAATTAATCCTCAGTTGAATGAGGGAACGGAAATGTTCGACGGAGGAAAACTGTAACCCGCGAAAATTCAACTTTTAGACCTTGAAATCAATGGGATTTTGGCCGTTCCTCCGACGGCAACGAGAACCATCCATTCGTCGCCACGGACACTACCAATGCTAAAAGAAATCGATCGCAAAGAGCTCTCCCGAGTGGGCGAGCTCAAAAAATCACGAAAGTTATTGAGAGTTGACATTAGGTAGTTTTCCATCCAGTAATGTAAGTAAGGCAGGAATTCTGCAGCGAAGTGCCAGCGTTGCGAACTTAGAACTCATTTTTTTGTTGAGCCTACTTTGAAGTTGACATTAGCAGATTAAGATTGGCCCAAAAATATGTCGATCGCATAAACTTCCTTATAAAAAAAGGAAACTTCAGTAATAAAGTTTGTTGGTCTCTCTTTGGAAGATTTATATGCAGCAAAAAAACTTCCAAATAAGTATTAAAAAACATGGCTGTAATCAGTATTTTGCGTTTCTTACCATTCTCTCAACTCGGAGTTGGGAGTTCCTTAACGGAATGATTCAATTGGTCTTTGACCGACCCATCAAGAAAAAGTATCACATACCGCTATGATAAATACTGAATGTGTGACATTCTAATTTTCCGAGAAAGATGGCCGCCGCGAGGGCTTCATAAATATAATCCGCCGTTTAATCCGCATAAAGGAGGTGTGCATAAAGCCGGGGTCCAGACGGAGCCTTCAGCCGGCTATCTGTTCTGCGTTAACTGAGCGCACAGACAATTGCCCGAGCAGAAAGGACCGGCATTCTCCGGAGAGCGATGATTTTTATCTCGGACGCAGCGGAGAGCAGTTCAGAAAAACTCAACTCACGAACACAAATTCCTCGGGAGCTACAGAGAATTTTCTTTTCTTTATACGTCAAGGCTCCCAGCCCTTTCATCTAACCTCGGTTCTATGAAATAAATATTCAAAAGCAGTGCCCATGAAATGAAAAACGGGTCCCTTTTTCTTCAAAGGCATTGTCTCCGGCCATCTTTTGTGCTCCGCGATGTGCGCGGCTGGTGGCATGCTCTTAGACCTCTTCACAGAGATTTCAATTAATTAGAGTGCTTTTTAGGAGTACTAAGTAAACTTCTCCATGATCAAACACATCCATCGGACTGGCGAGAAGTCAGGCGCCGGCCGTGGGCCTTAGCGTTGACCGAGGGGTTTTAAATACCTGTTCAAGCGCGAAGGGTCAGTTTTGCTCGTCATAGAATCGTGTTACGGCACTTGAAAATGGATCAACGAAAAACAATAAAATCCATCCAAATGGCGATATTTATGTTACACCCAGTCAGCGAAATTGCCCAGTTCGGAGACTGGGCGACTTTTTTGTCCCGTCCGTGGACAGGCCATCAGTGGCGTGGCGTGAATGATCGATTATCGATATCTCGCCATTTGAAGCTATGGTAAAGAATCGATTTCTAAGGTGTTCGCTGCGAATACCCTGATAATCGATCTTTTTTCATAGGTTTGAGTGGCGTATCAATCGATATATTGCAAATCATGCCACGCCACTGCAGGCCATCCCCGTTGCCCATTCCGGGAACTAGGCAGCCAATCCGCGGACTGGTCCGGTCGTTAAATTTAAATGCAATCCCTACGTTAGTCAACGAGTGTCCCCCACCAACCGACTCTTGACAAATTATTCACGAGATTTTGAACGAAACTCATACATATCAAAACAATTGACAAGTTATTTAAAGACATTTTACAAAGAACATATTTTTTATTTTTCAGAAAGTTTTAATACAATTTTACAAGTTTTTCTTTTTTTTTCAATTTTGCTTATAATTTCAGTATCTTAGATGTGCGTGTTGCATATCCAAAAATTGGAGGCGTTTCCGCGTTACAAAATCAGGATTCAGTTGATACTGTAGCGCCTTGATGCAACTATTCGTGTTTCACGGATGTGCGTGTTGTATGTTCAAAATTGAAGGCACTTCCGCTTTTCTCACGTCTTTGGAAATGCATGGGAGTTGCCGTTAGTTGTAGCACCCGAATAACAGAGTACCTATTTTGGAGAAACATGGCATTGCATCTCAATCACTTTACTACAAAGACTGGAGCTGATCTCTGATTGGTCGGCGAATTCCAGGCTTTCGTGGATTTTTTGAATTCCAACTTTTGGAATAATTTCTGTACAAAATTTGATGGATATTCTCGCCGAGAATTGGATTACATTTTGCAATAAGGAACCAAATATACTCTGGCTCTTTTATAAAAGCACATTTCTTATCGGGGAAACTGATGGCACATGTGTCGTTGCTAAAATGAGCCAGAAATTGTGGTTCCTTATTGCAGAATGGAATCCAATTATCCTTTTTGATTATCAATTTGAAATTGTATTCTGTTAACCTCCCTGAATTTCTGTTTCAGATAATGCTGTCGTGGGGGAGGACGGTGATCGAGGGGCTGTTTGGTCTCCTGCTCTGCATTCCCGTTTACCTAGTCGTCAAGTTCAGCCGGCTCCACAAGCGATGGGCCAAGCACGGAATCGTCGGCCATGACACGAACCTCCTCGTCCATGCTTGGTTCCGCCGCAACCACCTTAGCTACTCCACGATCGACACCATCTACAAGCGTTTCATCAACGAGAAATGCGTGGGACTCCACCAGGGGCTGAAACCGGTCCTCATGGCCATCAACACCAAGCTCATCGGCAGCATCTATGAGAACGTCGGCGTCAAATTCTCTAAAATTACGCACAACGATAACAATAGACTCAGGTTGGTTTTTCCTTGTTTTCCTAACTCTTATTCGGAGAAAATATTGACGGTGAAAGTCCGCATCCACGTATCATGGAAGACCCGATTTTTCAGGAGAGCTAAAAAACTGTCTAAATTCTTTGTTTTTGAAGTTAAAGGGGGAATAATACTTGGAGATAACAAGAATAAGAGATTTTTAAGGACTCCATCAGCGTTTTGAATGATATTTCTGTCTGTACGGAGAAATGACCGAAAAACCAAGATACTTACGTGTTCTTGGGACTAAGGGCCAACGCTCAATTCCGAGATGCGTGGTTTTGGTTTGAGAATTACTGTTTCAATTACCCTGCTTCTAACCTGTTCTCAAAACTGTTTAAAAAAAGGAGGCGACACCTCCGAAAGGATTATTATTGGCAAAATCTTCCTTCGAGAGATTCTTGGGCGATGAGTAGCCTTCAAATACGCATATGTGCAGCATTGATAACAAAAGTTTACTTAATTTTCATGCACTCCTTTCCATACTTACAGAGCAGGCTTGACTATCTGAGTTTTGACAGCTACTTTAACCCATAGATGCCCAGGCCGGGATAAATTGACCCGCGAGGTTTCTTAAAAGCACTTGACCAGCGGGTTACAGGGTTACAAGGGGCTGGCACTCGCGAGTTTCAGACAGAGGCCCACAAATGTATCTTAAAATAAGAATCAGAATTGAAAAAGAAAAGTCAAGTGTCAAAACAGCAGAAGATAAATGAGCAAAGACGTATTCGTGCCTCGTTCTTTAACTTTTCTGCCGAATTTGAGCGACGCCTCATCGGAATCATAGAGCAAAGCATTGCGAGTTCACGCCTCACGCCATCGCGCCTTCAATTTTGCAGATGCAACACGGGCATCCATCAAGCACGAATAGTTGTATCTTTGCGCTGTCATTACTGCATGTTAATGTGTCTCTTAATTAGGTTAAGTTTGCTCAAAATGTACTGTAATGTATCCAAACCAATATTTATCTGGAAAAAAAGGAGTAAACAACAGGTTTGGATGTCTCTCAAGCGCACTAAAAAGCGCATACCTAAAAATGGGTAGAGTCCACGCCAAATAAGTTGACGCACTTTAAGACTGCATTACGAGATCCGCCATCTCGATTTTTCCATTTACTATACATGTAAAAGTGACGTCAGACGATCTGCTTTAGCAGTCTAGATGTGCATTAACTTACTTGGCGTGGGTTCTACTTTAGTGAGAGTTGTGTCGTTTCAGAGAATTTTCATTTGACGATTACCCCACTGGAAAAAAACACATTGGATCTAGAGTCCAGACTCTTAAAAACATCGACAAGAAAAAGTACTCTTGATTCAATCAGAATCTAGCTTAAATCAAGAACCAAGCCTCTTAATTTGAGCGGATTCCGTCTTGATTCAAGCAAAAATCCGATTGAATTAAGAGTATTTTTTCTTGTCAATGTTTTCAAGAGTCTGGACTCTAGATCCAGTGTGCTTTTTCCCCAGTGCCCTAAGAATCCCAAGCCGGTAAAACCATCCGGCCATGGCTGCTCGATTTTAAATTGAATTTTATCGTCTGATTTTTCATTTTGGTAACAGGTTAGTATTAGAGAAGGATGAACCCTGCACGGAGGAGCTCGAGAAGGGACCGATTTACAAAAACGATGACTCAGAGATAGAACCAAGCGTCCCGAGCTTGTTGAACGGTGAGAACTCGGAGGCGATCTACCAGACAACGTTCCACTGCAGCAACGAACTGCGGATGTCGCTGGAGGCCCGCGCCCACGAGAATCGTATCATAGACATCGTCGAAGAAATAGAGCGCCTTAAGTTGGACCTCATCGGCGTCACCTTCTTCGGCCTCACCTTCGGAAGGATTCGTCAACCCAAATTTAGGTAATCTTCATCATTTTTCAAATTTCATCACCCTTCATTCATGAAACAAAATCTCATAAAAACTTTCAAAAGCTTCAAATGATGAGTCCTATGGCATGAGGTATTAATTTTCAATAGCTTATTTCACAGAAAGAAAGAGAAAATCAACAAACAACCCTCTATGAATTATTTTTGGATCTCAGATTCTGGATGCAACAGTCGTAAAAAACGTAGTGTCCGAATTCTTTTCCTCAACTTTCAAAAAATTGGGACATTACTTTATAAAAAAGAAAACGCTGGTAAAAAAGCGCATAATCATGCAGCAGAGAAATAGCCCATTTTTTTTTGAAGAACCCAACCCTGGTAAAAATTGGCGGTACGAGCTGCGTTTCAAAATACCATAGGAGTTCTTATAGCCGACTAAAGAAGGCTATTGAAAATCATATAGCTAGCTGTAAAAAGCGGAGCAAATCATATAGCCGGGCTATACGAAGCTATAAAAAAGTATACAGTCGGGCTATAGTTCCTATCGCCGGACTTTACACTTTATCGCCATTGGCTATAAAAGGCTATAAGAAAGTGTGTAGAAATTCGTGTGCGTTGGAAATTATTAAGTTAGATATAGAACTACCTTAATATTTACAAAACACACATTATATTTTCCCCTAAAACATATTTTTTTTTTTCATCAATTAAAATGAGATGGTCCATACAGAGTGTGCAAAGATTTCAAAATCATGAGTTGAAAAACGCTGACTCCGCGAGATTAAATATTAGAGCCTAACACAAAGCGGAGCGGCGACGCATTGGTGCCTACAAACCTAACAGGGATACTTCACGCATTGCGCGGCGACGCACTGGCGCCTACAAACCTAACAGGGATACTTCACGCATTGCGCGGCGACGCACTGGCGCCTACAAACCTAACATGGATACTTCACGCATTGCGCAATGGCTGGCTGCGCCGCAGCGTGCCACGGCGTCTGAAGCAACTATTTCACACCAGAGGTATTGCACAATATCATATGAAACTGAAGGCGCTCTAATATATTAGGAAAGGCAGGCGTCCTTCAAAAGTACGGAGCTTTCCTCGCAAAATAAATCAAGATACTACGGCACTAAAAGAGAGCGGTAGTCCAAAAACTAACTAAGTCCTTATATCCGTATTCAGTAACGTTTAGCATGAACTTTATCGTCTAGCTGTTGCTTAATCGCCATCGGCTATAAAGGGCTATAAGAAATTGTACAGCCGGCTACAGAAGCTATTGGAAATCTTACAACCGGCTTTAGGTCTATAGTATTTTGGAACACACATTCTACTGCCAATTTTTACCAGGGAAGATATATGTATTTTTATGAAATGGTAAGTGTTATAATGACGCAGTAAAGTTAAATAATAATTTCAAACCTAATCTCAAAATCACAAAAATGGCGCAGTTTTTTCATCATCCTGCAAAATCGTCAATTTACAGATAGGCGGTATTGTTCCTCAGTGCGCTTTATGCTCACCATATCGACGGTGAAACTACCAAACCACATATCTCGTTTGCGGTGTTTAAAAATCTACGCTCACATTTTATTTTTTTGAAGTAGACCAAATCAATATCATTCCTTGAAATTTCCACGGAATTTTCTCCGCACAAAGAGGAAAAATCACAGAAATTTTCAAGACTGGATGTTGAGTAGTTTTTCATTTAAAAAATAAAGTATGACAGGAAGTCTGCGACGTCGCAAACCGAGATACGTGGTTTGGTAGTTTCACCGTCGATATCCAGATCCCTATGCAGATAGGTGATTTTATAGATGAGCCTGAAATTGAAGTTCCTAATTGAAAAATGCAGTTCAGCTGATGAGTAACAAATATAACAATTTAAACAGCAGGTAGCAAGGCTAATTTTCACATAAATACCAACAAAACGTTTCCGCTGGAAACTCAGACTTCTTTAGTTGGATAAAAACGGTTAAAAAATTTAAAAATCTAAAAACTTAGTACTTGGCTGTACCTTTAGGAGCGAGAAAAATGTTGTTATCACAACATGTTGATGACAGAGGCGGTTGTAGCAATTTGGCAACACCGGATTCCCTCCTTTTAAACCTTTGCTAAATAATCGATTCTTGTCGAAGCACCTACCCCCCCCCCCCCCCCC